TATACCGCACATAATCAACATATACCACATGGGTTGTGTGACAGATTATTGCACAGGCTGATAGCTTGTGGGTAATAACTGTCCTTTAGTCTTTTTGTATGTGAGGGCAGACTCATGTATCGTCTGCATGAGGGTAGTGGATAGAAGAGTCCTTGTGCTGGATGGGTGTGATCCTTAATGATGCTGCGTGTTTTACGCAGACATCGGCTGTGATGTCCTGGATGTTGTGGAGACTGCTATCAGTGATGTCCTCTGCTGTTTGCACCACCCTCTGTAGTGCTTTCTGGCTCTGACTGGTGCAGTTCCTGTACCACTATGTGATGCAGCCTGTCAGCAGGCTCTCAATGAAGCACCTATAAAAGTTGGTGAGGATGATGGTGTTTGTACCAAACTTCTTTAGTAGAGTCTTTGTCTGGTTTTCTTGACCACAGTGTCTGTATGTAAAGTCCAGAACAAATCCTCAGAAATGTGAACGCAGAGGAACTTGAAGCTGCTGACCTGCTCCACCTCAGCGTTGTTTATGTTGATGGTGGAGTGCTGGCTTCCACTCTATTTCCTGAAGTCCACTATCATCTCCCTTGATTTGCTGACATTTAGAGAAAGGTTATTTTCCTGACACCAGTTGGTCAGTGATTTCACCTCATCTCTGTAGGCACTCTTGTCGTTTTTGGTGATGAGGCCCAGAATGGTGGTGTCATCAGCATACTTGAGGATGATGTTAGAACTGTGCTTGACAGTACAGTCATGTGTAAATAGTGAGTACAGGAGTGTACTGAGAACACAGCCCAGAGGTTTACCGGTGCTGAGAACTAGTGTGGAGGAGAGGGGACAGCTGATTCTCACTGCCTGTGGTCTGTTGGTGAGGAAGTCCAGTATCCATCAGCAGATGGACTTCTCCAGGCCTTTTCTGTGGCCCGGCTTGTCTGTTTCCCTCGTGCTTCCTCATTAGTTTCCATTGTTGCCACCTGTGTCTCGTCCCAGCTGTTTGTCATCATGTCTCGTCTTCTCCCGGTACTTAAGCCATCCTATTCTGTCTTGTTCTTCGTCGGGTCGTCTCCTTCGTTGGGTACGCTTCCTTTGGTCTCCTGAGTCTCTCCCTGTCTTCCTGGTCCCTCGAGTTCCCCGTGTCTCCTGAGTTCCCCGTGCCTCCTTCCTTGCTTATGTAAGTTTTGCTGCCCCGTCAGCTTGTTTATTTTGTACTTTTCATTTATCATTAAAAGCCTATTTTTGTATATCTGCCGAGTTGAGTCCCTGTTCTGCACTCTGGGTTCGCTCCTGACACAAATCCTAACAT